GAATACTATCCCAGGGCTCACTTTCTCACTAGATGGAGCTCTATAATAGATCTACAGCGTCATGGTAGCAGCACCTAAACAAAACTGTAATATGAAACAAACTGCACATTTTTCGAACAACTTAATCCTTAGTTTCACAGGAAGAAAAATTCCTCTTTCCATGGAATCCCACAGATTTAGAGACTTATCTATAATAGGACTTTTAAAAAGAAAGACTTATATGAGGCATATCTAAGTTATATTTGGACCTAGAATTATAGCATCTTTAGAGAGGCTAAGGGCATATGTTTGTGTTTTCTTCTTTTACCCTTGTGGGTATACCCTTTATTTCTGTCTAATTTATTTTACAAGTGCACTAAAATATACGGGTGTAAGCCTATACATGTATATCATGATCACACATCAATAGCAGCTCTTTATTTGGATGCCTATAATCTGTAGCACCTGGTCCTTTATACGGAGCATGTAAAGAGATACAATCCCTTCTCTGCAGGGCTATTAGATGGTAGCAAGCCATATAAATAACAAGATAAATAGTATCACAAAGTAACACATGCTCATCGCAAATGAGTAACACGGTCAATAGGTGGTACGGTAGTTCAATGGCGGGTATAAGCATGGAGGGCTAGCATGGGGAAAGGTTCCATGGAGCACATGGGATGTTAGCTGATCCTTGAAACAAGGTAAGCGTTTAGATAAGAGGAAGAAGGTATTCTAGATGGGTGGAATGGAGTAAGGAAAAACAGGCCAGAATATCCCTGGCGTATTCGAGGAACAGAAGGTAGACCAGTTTGGATGGAAGGGAATATCAGGGAGGCTCTGGGATGTGGTGGGAAGGACACTGGACAGGACTTGGAATGTGGAATCAGCAGACCTGACTTCAAGTCACAGATCTCCATGTTACCAGCTGTATGATCTTGGGCAAGTTATATCTGCCCAACAAGTCAAGTTTCTTCATTGGTACAATGGGGTTAATAATATACAACTTACTTGGCAGTGTTGTTGTGAGGAGCAAGTGAGATCATGCACGTAAAGCATTTTGCAGATCTTGAAACACAACATTAGCATCAATTATAGCCATATTGGAGACTGATGGGAGATGAGGCTGATGGGCAACATTGTGAAGGAGCTTCAATCTAGGTTGGAATTTGTACTTGATATCGGGCATAGGCAATGGGAGCCTCAGGCCAAAGCCCTTTAAGCATTGTTTTAAGCAAATGAATTGTTTAACAATGGGAATGAAATGAAAGGAAGAGGTTTTAAAATCCAGACAGTCTTCATATTCTAAAGGAGGAAACAACACACTCAGCTGCAAGTCGGATGGAAAAGTCTTGTGGTCCTTAGGGTGCAGTACCAAATCAGGTGTAAATGCTTCTTTAATGCCATTTCCACTGATAAAGATGATATCAGTTTCTGATGTTGAATCACTTGACAAGGCTAAGAACTTTGGGAATCAGAACTTTCCTTTCTGGGTCTTTAGGAGCAGTGGCTAGGGCACTAGCAGGAGCAGTTGCCACGATGCATCTACACAGGGGTTCTTCCCCAGGATGGTGGCTGAGGGCACAGGGCTGGAAGCAATGCTTCTCCCAAGGCCCTTGGACTCTGGGTCCTAGGCTATCTCCATCAGGGTCTGAGGGGGGAAATGGTAATTAAGGTGGTGGTGGTTTGATTTTTCTGGGCCATGCTATCTCCTCCCTTTCCCTCAGAGTGCCTTGATACTCCAACGGGGCTACCTTGGCGGAGAGAGGTAGCAGTTGACTGACCCCTCCTCCACAGGAGCTGCCTTCCTAAATGGTGACTGTGAGAGCTGGGCTGGAAGTAGAACCCTTGTTTAGGGTGGTGGGGTCTTGTGAGAGCGAAGGTTGCCATTCTCATGGCTCTTGTACCTACCTGTCTGATGGTAGTGGCACTTGGTGCTGGTGGTAATGAGAAAAGTGGGCCTGCCCTCTATAGTGATTTCTCCCATCAATAACAGCTGTGAGGGCTGGACTGAAAATAGATCTGGTGTTTTGTAAGGCTGCTCTTTGGCTTTTAGGCTCAGGATTCTGGGCTGTCTTCATCGGGGTCTGAAGAGAGATGGTGGTCAAGGTGATGGTGTGTTTTGACTCACTTGGCCCAAATTGCCTCCTGTCTGCCTGTCTCAGGTTTCCTTGCTGCTTCAGCTGAGCTGGTCTGCCTGCCCTGTATGTGGCAGTTAGTTACAAAACATAAATAATGTATGCTTATAGACTAATTGTCTAAATGTTTCACTTGGGATTAATTTTACCACTTTTTTCCTGTGGCATTTTATGGCATTACCAGTCATAACTTTTAGATCTTTGCTCTAATATTGACAAGGTGAAAGATAATTTTAAATCAGTCAATCAAAAACATTTTTAAGTGCTTGCTCTGTGTCAGATAATGTAATAAGCAATGATATAATATGCAGAGATGATATAATAATGCAAAAAAAGGAAAAAACAGTCTGTACTCCCAAGGAGCAAAGATCCTAATGCGGGGGGACAACATGTAAATATCTTAATATGTGTAAGATACATATGCAAGTATCTGAAGATAATATGAAAGGGTCCTGGGAAGACCAGGAAAAGCCTCCTTTGAGCTGAGCCTTGAAGAAAGGGAAATAAGAGGCTATGACAATGAGGGAAATTATTCCAGGCATGGGAAATAGCCAGTGTGAAGGCCAGGAGATTGGAGGTGGTGTCATGTTCCAAGAACCACAAGTTGGCCAAGGTGGCTGGATGATAGTGTGTGTGGAGGGGAGTGAGGTATTAAAAAGGATAGAAAAAGATAAGAAGGGATGGGAAGGGGTCAAGTGGTGAAGAACTTTAAAGACCAAACGCAAGAGTTTGTATTTGATCTTGAAAGCAATAGCCAATCACAACAGCTCATTGACAGGAGCTCACAGGGGGTGACATGGACAGATCCATGCTTTAGAAAAGTCACCCTGGCAGCTGATTGGAGGGTGGACTGAAGTGGGAGAAGACGAGTAAGGAGACCTATCAGAAAGCCACTGTAGTAGTCTATGCTAGAGACGATGAGAGCCTGAACTAATGTCTTGCATATGTAGATGTAGATGAGAAATGCTGTGAAGGTAGAAATAATACAATTTGGCAATAGATTGGATATGTGGGATTAATGAGAATGAGGAGTGGGGGATGGTACAAGGTTGTAGGCCTGGGTATTCTGAAAATGGTGGTTCCCCTGACAATGATAGGAAAGTTCTGAAGAGGCAAAGGTTTGGGAGGAGATAGTGAACTCTGGTTTGAATCTGTTGAGTTTGCCTTTGGGATGTGTAGTTTGAGACATCCGTGAAGCATTTGGAGATGCATTACTGTAGCTCAGCAGAGACAGTAGTGCTGCATGTGCAGGTCTGGGAATCATCTGCCTAGAAATGACCATGGAAGCATGGGAGCTAATGAGATCAGCAAGAGAGACAGTATAAAACCAAAAAGGTCCAGGACACAGCTTTGGAGGACACCCACAGTTAGAAGGTGAGATGGACAAAGAGCCAGCAAAGGTGACTGAGAAGTGTTTGGACAGACAGAAGGAGAACCAGGAGAGAGTGATGTCACAGAAATCTAGAGAGGAAGGAATACTCCAAAGTAGGTGATCTACAATGTCACATGCTTCAGAGAGATCAAAAAGGATCAGGATTCAGAAAAAGGCATTTGATTTGGCCATTTAAAAGTCATAGGTCATTTTGGAGCGAGCAGTTTCGGCTGAATGATGCGGTGAGAAGCCATGTTACAGAGGTTGTAGAAGAGATAGAGAAGAAAGGAACACCAAATGCACATGGCTTCTTCAAGGAGTTTCACTGAAGAAGTGGGGAGAGATACAGGGGGATAGCCAGAGAAAAGTGAGAAAAAATGGGTTTGGTTCTATTTTTTTTAATTTTAAGGATGGAGACTTGAATATGTTTATGGGCAGCAGGGAAACTTCTAATAGACAGGGAAAGATATGAGTAGGTGATACTAGAATCACTGGGTTCTAAGATGACTAGAGAATTTGGGACAGGCTGGGATCAAGGACACGAGCAGTAGGGTTGGCGTTGGTGAGCAGTTAGGCCACCTCATCATCTGAGACCAGACTGAAGGAATAGGAGTGAAGGGGGAACGCTTAGCTAATCGTCTCAGTTTTGGGGGGTGAAGTGTGAGGGAAGATCTTCAGCTGAAAGAGTAGAGGAAGGGTGCTCATTTGGAGGAAAGAGGAGAGGATTTGGAATAGCCACTGTGGAAAACTGAATCAAGAAGGAATCGAATTTTTTCTTTGTTGCAGTGAGGACCCAGTTGGGATTGGATAATATAAATTTGTAATGGTCCCAGTCAGCAACAATTTCATGATTTCCTCCAGCTGCTCTGGGAGCAAAAGAAGTAGATTAAATTGTAATTATGACCTAAAAAATAATTTCTTTTGAGTGTGTTTTTCATATACAGAAATTTAGGCTGTACAATGCCTAAATCCCATCTGCACTAAATGGTAATAGAGGGAGGCTGAAAATGTTACTGTACCTTCCTAAAATGTAAATCCAAGAAATTACTTGGAAATTAGGAAATATGGTTCATTTTTGGCTATCTTCTGCATTTTTCAGGTGAGAGAATATTTCAGAGAGAATGTACTCCCTTAGAGTGGAAAGAAACCACACACACACACACACACACACACACACACACACACACATACATCCTCTGAATGCTCCACAATATGCCATTATGTCTCTCTTGAAAATGAATTATAGGCTTACAGCTACTAGCAATGTAATGTGAGCACTGACAAAGGAGTTTTGTTACATCTGCCTTAAAATTTCAATTTGGGAGTGTAATGATGCCCATCCTAAGTACAAATGGTAGAGTCACCACAGCAATATAGCCACTAGCTTTGTAGGCTCCTAAAAAAACCTTGAATTATTCTCCCTTTGGGGGGTATATACTCCCTCAAATACATGGTTCCCATGCCTCATGGAGGTCTGCTCATATGTGGTATCTGTCTCTACAGCAACCTATGTCACTCACTTTGAAATGTTTTTAAAAAAAAGGCAATGCCCTTATATAGTAAATGTGTGTGTGTGTGTGTGTGTGTGTGTGTGTGTGTGTGTGTGATTTATTTGGGAAAGCCCTCCAACAATTCAGATTAATTCCTATCTATCCTATGCAACTCTTGTCCACGTCTTCCCAAGTTTGTCACAGGTGATCCACCCAATGTGCTGGAGGAACTCTTTGCCTTCTCTTGACCCTAACCCTGCTCTCCCTAAGGGTACCAGTGGAGCATTCTGGCCATGTGACCAGCCCATCTTCTCTTTTTGTCATACAGTCATTTGATCACATCCTTTACTCCTGTTCTTAGAACAGGATTACATATTGCGGCCTTCCCACATCCAACGTTCATCTTTCCATTGCCATCTTTGCAAAGCCCATTTTTCCTTCTTCAGAGGCAGTGATGTTCCAGGGCTTGCTACTATACATCAACATATGAAAGAAGTTTGGGGTCAGTAAAAAGGCTTTGCATTCTCCTAGAAGCAACCCTGCATGCCTTCCTCCTTCTTTTCAACTCTGGACTCAGTTCCTTGTTCATATATGTTGTCTGTCCCAGATATAGCAAGGATTCTTAACTTTTTTTGTTTCATGGGCCCCTTTGAAAATCTGGTGAAGTATTTATGCTCCTCATAAAAATGTTTCAAAATAACAAAATAGGATAACAAGGAAAACCAATCATATTGAAATGCGGTTATCAAAATAGTAAAAATTAAAAGTTCATAGACCCCAAGTTAAGAGCTACTTGCATTCAGATGCATACTGAAATCTGAGCAATGGGCATTTTTCATCTATTTAGTCTTTCTTTTGTAAATGGACAGGTCAAACTCCTTAGAGGGATTGCAGATTTCTTTCAGGAAAATCTGAAATATTAGCATTTGATGCAGTCAAACAATGGCATCAGCAAATGGCAACATATTAAGGACCTCACCACCCACAGGGAAGCCTTTTTTAACCTGTACTCTGTTCTAGATCTCCTCCATCATAGGGGCAAATACTTTTGCTGAGCATATATTTCCATTTTTCTCCTTCCCTAATTTTTATTATCAGATTTGATCTGTCTACTTTTCCTGTCTCTGTTCTTTTTAAAATAGCAAATACAGGTAAGGAAAAAGAAAAATGCTTCCATCTGAGATAGGAAAAAAAAACAAACACTTATATGGAAGAGAGATTGAGAAAGTGTTTTGTTTCGTTTTGTTTTTTTTTAATGGCAATATTTAAACTTAGGGTGAAGGGTCTGATTTAATAATATGGAAGATCAGAGAAGAATCTTTTTTTATAGTTTCATTTTATCCCTAGCTTATGCCTTTGATATCAAGTTAAATTCACCAAATTTTTATTAAGGCCCTATTATGTTCATTGTCTTAGGTCAGGGGTGGGGAATCTGTAGTCTGGAGGCCACATGTGGCCCTCTTGGTCCTCAAGTGCAACCCTTTGACTGAATCCAAACTTCACATAATAAAACAATTTGTTCTGTAAAGTTTGGATTTAGTCAAATGGGTGGCCACACTTGAGGACCTAGAGGTTCACATGTGGCCTCAAGGCCACAGATTCCCCACCCCTGTTTAGGTTCTGGGGGTACAAAGATGAAATGACATAATCTCTGCCCTCAGGGAGTTTACAGTCTTTGTAGTGAAGATATGTACACAAATAGCTCTAACTGCAAACTAGAATATAAGTATTTACATAAGAATAGTACAAAAAGAATGGTATAAGAAATTGAAAGAGGGAAAGATCACTTATATTGTGGGTATCAGGTCAGGCTTCATGGAAAAGATGGTACCTGAACTAAATCTTGAAGAAAGGGAAAGATTTCAATGGCTGAGAATTTTCCAGGGAAAGAAATAGATTGATGAGGCATGAGTGAAAAGATTTACAATGGCGAGTTTGTAAGAGAGAGTAGTAAGAGATTGGGAAGTGATAAGTAGCCAAGTTCAGTTAGAACATGAGTATGAGAAGGTGGATGACTGGAAAGGTAGATTGAAGCCAAATTATGGAAGGCCTTGACTGCCAGGATAATGAACGTGCATTTCAATTTATATCGGGTAGAGAGTGAGGAACTACTGGGCTCTGTTTCTGTTTTTGCCTTTTGTTTGTTGTTCATGCTATTTTTAAGTAAGGAAGTGATACAATCAGATCTGTGTCGAAGGAAATTTACTCTATGAATAGTGTCAGGGATGAAATGAATACCAGAGAAGCAACTATTGCCATAATCTCAGAAAAGGTGAGGAAGGCTTGAAATAGGGTAGCAGCAGATAGTGTGAATGAAGAGAGGAGAGAGAGATGTGAAAGTTACTTAAGGGGTCACATTTACAAGAATTGATAACTACGTACATGGAGGGTGAAGGAAAGAAAAGAGTCAAAGATGTCCTGACGTTGACTTCTGCATGCCAGGGAGGATGGTGGTATCAGAAATAAAAAGAGGAGATAGGAAAGAGAGATTTTTGTTGAGGATACTTTTGAATTTGAAATATTCACTGAATATCCAAGTGTAGGCAGACATCTGGAAAGGAGGAATTGTAGTTCAGGGAAATGATGGAGGCTTGAAATATAGACGGAAATTATCACTGAAGCTATGGTGCTACACGGGATATACAAGAGAGCACAGTGTAGGGGAAGGAGGACAGGGACAGAACTTTGGGTGATGCTCCCATTTGGGAGTGGAAAAAGGAAGAGTATCTAGTAAAGTGTATTGTGGGGAAGCAATGTAGTAGGCAATCATAGGAAATGCTGTGGAGACTTTCTATATTGAAAGTCCATAGGAAGAAATCTTAAAGGCAAATTAATATGACTTCTTCATTATTCAGATGAGGAAATGAAGACCCAGAAAGGTTAAGTGAATTTCCCATGATCACACAGGTAGGTAGAAGAGTTGACATTTGAACCCAGGCCCTCTGACTTTAAATCCATTGCTCTTTCTACTATCTCATGCTGTTCCTCTCCATCCCCAGATTCCTTCACAGACAGCTTGCTGGAATATATATCGTATATTGTTAGATATGGGCTATTTACATTATTCTTCTCACCTTAGACCTCTTTCCATTTTGGTTTTACCTTTCCCTCATACCCTCATTGATTTAATTTAATAAACTCCATTATCTGAGGAATTACCAGTACTATTCCTCTTTCCTGGACTAACCACAATCCTCTTCCATCTTTTCTATCTTACTATCATATTAATTTAAGACTAGAACTAAATTATTGAAATTTTATGGTATTCCACAATCAGGTTGAAAATCTGTAATTCAAGAACCCATTTGGAAAGCTACTAAATCTGTTGAACCTTTTAATGCTGTCTTAAAATCTTAATAAACTACCACCACATTTTCCAAACAATATTTAAAATTCTATCCTTCTTTATTTCCTTGTGCTTTTATGTAAATAAATACATATATATTGATCTGTGGTGAACTATAAAATGTTTTATGCATTAAAATAAGTTAAGACAGTTTTGGGAAACCATTTTTTAAAATGGGGACTCACTAATGTTCTGTAACACAAAATTATATGTGTGTGTATATATTCACATACATACATATATATACTATATATTTTTTATGTGCATACATACATGGAAAGAAAAACAAATTGTAGCTCCTAAGAGATCCATAGCTTTGAATTTATTATTTTGTGAATGTAAAACATTAATTAGAATATTAAATTAGCATGTCTATTACCTTTGATAATATTTAAATCACTACAAAGTACATAGAAAAGACATTTAAATCTCTTAGTATAGTAAAGAGCCCTGTTCTTTGGGTAAAATATATTATGTTCCAGAAAATTGAATTTTGCTGTTGGTTAGAAAATTCATTCTGTCAGACAGGTGAAAAAACAAATATTTTTTATGAACTAGTAAAATTTTTAAAGAAATGAAGCCAAATTTGGAAATATAGTATTTCCAATTCAGAGATCTATTTGTAGATATTAATTCTAAGTAGTTTGAAATGTTTTTGCTTTGCTTTAAAATAATAACCATAAGTTACATACTAAACTATTGTTCTGAACTTATTACTACTTTGTTTTGTGCTATTTCCAGCTTTAGATGTATGCATTTGATTGGTAGGGTTTTTTTTTTTTTAAGTACAGTTACATTAAAGAGATAGCAAATAAATATTCCCAATGGGAGTTGAACACACATCCAAGGACAGAAATTGGCCCTAATGCGGTATTTTTGTTACTGTTGCCAAGGACTTGATAAAAGCTTACAAAGTGGTTTCTTTTTTGTGTTCTTATCAGTTTCCTTTGTGTTTCATAAATTACAGGGCCTGAAAAAGAACTGGGAAGAGGTACATAAGGAATTCCAGTCCCTTTCTGTATTTATTGACTCCCTACCAAAGAAGATCCGCAAGCAAAGACTAGAAGCAGAGATGAAACAGCTGGAACATGACATTAGTGTAATTGAAAAGCATAAAGTCATCTATATTGCCAATAAGTAACGAAGAAGTGGTAGAATATATTCATTTTAAGTCAGAAAAATACAAGGTGGAAAAATAAAATGAAATGATAACATGCTCTTCATGGAAGAAAAATCGTACTAAGAGAACAAAGCAGTAGACTTAAAATAATTAATACATTCTTAAGTAATGTATAAAGAATAATGTGAATTGTTCACTTTTATGAGATTTTTTTTTGCCAGCGTGAGGATTTCCAAGTATGAACAAATTAAATTTTGATGTTCTTTGTATCAGTTCTAGAGTTTTTCATCGATATTCCTCTATTTTAAGCAAGTTTCATATGTGTGTGTGTGTGATTAGTAATTTCCTCATACTAAGAAAGTCTTAGCTCAGTACCTCAGTACCCTCACATAGATTTCATGCCAAAGTTATTTTAATAGACTTAATATACCTTTGTTAATAGTGTTACCTCTCCCTCTCTGCATACATTCTCCACCCTACAAAGATTATGTAAGGAACACACCTATTTTAAAATTTAAGTGATTTGAGTTAGAACAAAGATATACTGTCTTACCAATTTCCAATTTTAAATTCAAACAATTGTCTATGACCCACTATCCAATGAACATAGTATATGGTATAGTGGAAAGGCACAGAATTAAATAGGCAAAGATTTATTTCCTAAACCTAAGTCTGTGATTGACTAGCCAGGTAGCCTTCAGCAAATCAATTCACCACTCTTGAGTCTCATTTTTTTCATAAAATAAAAATAATAATAATTACCCTACCCATGCCACAGGGTAGTGGTGGTTTTGAGGATAAAATCAGAAAATATATTTTAAATGTCTGTTATATCATTCCTGAGTTGCCTTTGTTATCTATCTGATTCCTTCCTTAGGTAAATATCCTTACTATACCAGACTGAAAATTCTTGTATTTGGGAATGGGGGGAGAGGAAAGAGTGAGAGAAGGGAATGGGTTTCCAAAGACTAGTTATTCAGTAAGTGTGTCATTGAGGAGACTGAAACAAAGGGATGCTTGAGAATCAAGGAAGATACTTAAACAGAGACTTCTTGCTATACTTTGTAAAATAGTGTGTTTTTATGAATTTTATTCTATTATTCACATTATGTATTCACATGGAAATTGAGTGTTAATTTATTAGTCCTTTTCCTGTTCCTTCATTTTCAAGCTATTTACAAATGGAAATTCACTTCCTGTCAGCTGACTAGTGGAGGTTCTTCAGGCATAGTGTGTTCAGAATTAGAAAGAACCTCAGGGCCATCTTGTTCTACCTGTACCTGAAACCAGAATCTTCTCTGGAAGAGTTCTAGTGGCACCTGGAGGAGGGGGAGGTTCTATACCTCTCAAAACAGCCCACTCCACTTTTGAATAACTAATTATAGGGCTTCCTTGTTCCAAAGGTTTTTAATGGATTACATCCCCGGGAAGTAGTATGTTAAAAGAGAAAAGGAAGTGGGGATGCCTATTCTACAGGCCAAAAGGAGAATGAACCCCTTTGGAGGGTTTTAACCATTAAAGTACTGCTTGTTTCAGTTTCAGTTATGATAGTCCATCCTCTTAGACGTAAGCTCGGCCTCATTGCCTTCAGGATTTTTTTGGCTGTCAGTGAAAGAGCCCTGTCTTGTGATTAAGATATCATGTCCAGCTGTTGGAGATCTAGTACACTTTTTTATACCCCCAAATAAAAGCCTTGTGTTTGGTGAAGCAGAGAGAGAATTTCCAACAGCCAATGACCTTATGATAGCTAAAGTTACAAATTGAAAGACATTTATATGGAAAGAAGGTCAAACACATGTTTATCTTTTTTTTTGGCGGGGGGAGGCGAGGCAATTGAGATTAAGTGACTTGCCCAGAGTCACACGATGCTTAGCATAGTGTCTGGCAAGTAACAGGCACTCAATAAATGTTTATTGATTGACTGGCCTCCATAAAGACCAATCATTGCCTTCTGAGAGTGGATTTGATTTTTGTAGGCAGCCAAAAATCACCCCAAGTTAAATCTCAATTCAATAAATATTTACTAACCTACTTCGTGCAAGGCACTGTGCTAAATGTTGGTGACATAAAGATAAAGGCCTAATGATGAAGCCAAGCCAAAATGTCTTTGTTAGGTCAGGTAACAGAGGCAGAGCAAGAACATTCATTTACTTGAATGGGCTGCAGAATGGTTCTGAAAGCAACTTTAAGCGAATCCAAAATGTTTGGAGCAGTGTGTCATTGAAATGTGCATGGCCTTCTCACGTGACCAGTAAGAAAGAAAGAAAAGTGATAGAATGGAAAATTTGAAGTGCAAAGATCTGGGTTAAAATGCTTGCTCTGAATCTTGTTACCTGCATAACCACGGGTAAATGGCTCAACAAATCAGTCTCATTTATCTGCAAAATCAGGGGTTTGGACTTTCTAAGTTCCCATTTAGCTCCAAATCCCATGATTTTACTGAGATTGGCTCTACACTTGTGTGAATTTTAGTTGCCCTGACAGGCTGATATGGGAAGACTTGTCCAGATGTGTAAGTTCTGGTGTGTTTCTTTTTTTAAAAAATCCTATTTCTTCATAGTCACAACTTGTAGATGACCTATGTATCCAAAGATGCTACTAATGGTGGTGTCTGTGTGCACATAGTTTAAAAAAGATTAAATAGCAATTGACTTTCTCATACCAAACATCAAGAAAAACTATATTTCAATTTTCACATTCCATCATAATGCACATATTCTTTTGATGACTACTCTGACAGTACTTTTTATTCATTTAATTTTATTTTTTCAATCAATAAGAATCTTATTTCCCTCCTTTCTTCTCTCTCATTGAAAAGAAAAAAAAAAAGAAAGAAAAAATCCTTGTAACAAACATCCATAGTCAAACAAAACAAATTCCAGCATTGGTCATGTTCAAAAAATGTGTATCTCGTTCTTCACCCTGAGCTCACTACCTCTCTTTCTGGTGGTAGGTAGCATACTTCATCATCAGTCCTGTGGAATCATGCTTGGTCACTTCTTTGATCAGAGTTCTTAAGTCTTTCAAAGATGTTTGTCTTTACAGTGATATTGCTATCCTATAAAATTGTCCTCCTGGCTCTACTCACTTCACACTGTATCAGTTCATACAAATCTTTCCAGTTTTCTGTGAAACCATTTTATCCTTTCTTAAAATACAATAATATTCTATTACATTCATATAATTTGTTCAGCCATTCCCCAATTGATGGGTACTCCCTTAGTTTCCACAAAAAGAGCTGCTATAAATATATTTGTGTACATATAGGGCCTTTTCCTCTTTCTTTGATCTCTTTGGGGGATAGGCCTAGCAGTGATAGTGTTGCATCAAACAGTATGCACAGTATAGTAACTTTAAGAGCATATTTCCAAGTTTCAGAATGCCTATACCAATGCACAGCTCCACCATCAATGTATTAATGTGCCTGTTCTACCACAGCCCCTCCAACATTATCATTTTCCTTCTAGGGCAACACTATCTCAGATGTAAAAGTCCTATAATTTACTCACCTTCCTATTCAAATATCACTGGTCAAAGCCATAACAATTCTGTAGAGTTAGAACTGTAGTCCTGACACAATAGGTCTAAAATCACCCTGCTGTTTGGAGCCAGATTGCTCATGGTAGGATTCTCTTTTACCAAACTAGACAATTTGCCCACAGTTTTCCATTATCTGTACCAATTACCCCTTCTCTATGGTAAATAAAGAAGAGTTAACTTTGTGCAATATGTGATTAGTGCTTCAAAACTTGGATGGATCAGTAATCTAACTAAGGTGGGTTCTCTCTCTCATAATTCAAGTTGCAACCCATTCGTGCCTTCCCATATCGTGTGATTCTTGTCCATATCACCCCATAAATCTGCTAAAAGGAAACCACTTGACAGACCTCTTTCCTCTATATTTTGCATTTCTTGAAGCATGCAGACTGAAAAACATAATTTATCTCTCACCTTCAATACATAACTGGCCCACTGACTATTTTGGTCTTACCATCTCTGATGCTTCTCCGGCACAAAATTTTTCATTGGAAATAATGTCCAGCCTGCTGGAGGCTGTTATGTGCCTTTTAATTGTCCTTTGGGTGAACTTTAATCCTTTGGATTCTTTGCTATTCTGTGACCTACAGTCATACAGCATCACCAAAAGAATGTTGTTAATGGACTTCTGTCAGAAGCTCGGGATTACTAAAACACTGTACAATTTTCCAAAGCCCAAGGTATCCTGCTCTCCAAATTGAATTCCTTGTCCAGTTAATTGTCCACTGTGGGGTCATGCACTCCTTTGGCAGCAAGGCTGGTGAAGCCTATGGACTCCTTCCCAGAACAATGTTTTTAAATGCATAAAATTACACTACATAGGATTACAAAGGGAATAGTATGATAAAATTTTGTAATATATTCATTATATTGAAATAAAGGTATAATTTTTTTTCATTCAGGTTAATGAACTTACTGAAATCTTTGCATGGACCACATGGGGAATAGCCTTTGTTTTAAGGGAACATTTATCTCTACTCAATCAAAAGCTTTTTTATAATTAGAAAAAAGTAAACAGTGAGATTTTTGTGTCTTCTGCATCTTTTTTCATTCAGTTGTGTGACTATATAGATGTAGTCTGCATCATTTGCAAAAGATTGCTTGCTCTGCTTTTATACCTTGACCAAGAATGCTCTTACTACATGTGTAGAATTATTCTCCAGCAGGTTTTATGGAGATTGGAAAATTAGTATATGGGTTGGCAGTTATTGACATCTTTTAAATCGCCTCTTTTTTCACTACTAATTAGGTTCATAGTCTTTTCTCCAAGCACTTTCTATCTTCCTCTGTTTCAGATAGATCTATCCTTTAATGCCCTCAAAATTGTTTTGCTTCCAGTAAGTGCCTCCCCTATGACTGGGCCAACTTGTCTTCCCATCTTTGTTTTCTTTTGGGCCATTTCCACTTCTTCAGACAGTATATCTACACTATCATTGCTGAAGATCATTTTAGAAACTTCGATAGGTTTTCCATTCTTTATCCCTTTGTTGTCATTCCAGTCTCATCCATCAATGCTCTCAAGATGATCTGGCTTAATTGGGTCTTTTGATTAACTTTCTGTAAGCTTGGTTTTCACTTCTATGCTTTTCACTGTCTGAAGCAGTGATACCCCTCCTCCTTAAGTTTGTAAACAAGCTCATACTCTAAACTAATGTTGGCCTGGCTGCCACATCTCTCTGTTTGGCAAAAAGATTGCAT